GGGGTGGCCTGCACTCTTACTCTTGCTCCTGAGGTTCGGTTCATCAGTATGCAGCGCGGTTGGGTCACCCGCGCCCGCAGCGGCGGCCGCGGGGGAAAAAGTAGTGTGTGATGAAAATATTCCCCCGACCCTTGAGTGTTTGTGCCCGCCCCGCCCCGCCCCGCCCCGCACTCACTTTCTCCGGCCGCGCCGTGCCCACGTCCTCGTAACCCGGGAGTAATGGACTTGGGTCGCCGAGGCGCCCTGAACCGTCATGTGACCGGAAAATTTGACACGCAGCTGGACGAGACGAGGAGTAGACATATGGCAGTCACCCGGGCTTTTAAGCTTATGTTTATGCAACCCCCCCAAAGAGACGAGGGGGGCCATCTTCCCTCCTCCCCACAAAGCGCCGCCGGAGTCGAGCGCGGACCTGACCTGGTCCAACCGCACAGGGCCTTTAAACGTCCTGACGGCGGTATCATATTGATCGGGACGCCCGACACTCCTCTTGTGCTGACGGCGAGGTGCCCGACCCACGCCTCGGCTCCCTTGGCAACCCCCAGTGCCCTGCCCCCCGACCTCAGCACTTCGGCCCGAGCCCCGCGCTTCCGCAACGCCACGCACCTCCACGCCACGAGGAAGAGAATATAGTGTCAACGCTGCGGGAAAAACTACACCCCGAGCGTGTACGGGTCGCGGCGGCGGGGCGCTCCGCGCTCGACTCTGCTGCCTCAGCGCTCTATGGACGCGCGCTTTGCCGTATTCCGGGAACTCTATACGCAGGTGCACCCACACACAGAGACATGCAGGCGCGCCCGCACGCACACGCACGCACACAGAGGCACACACACACACGCACACATACACGCACACACACACACACACACACACACAAGCGCGCGCGCGGAGAGGGTCTTTAGCCCGCAGCGCTCCCAAGGGCACGGCCCAACAACTCTGCTTCTGCCGCGCCAGCCCGATAGCGGGCGTAGGCGGGGCCGCGCCGTTGACGGGCATGAACACGGTGCGCACCTTTGGCCACCCGAAACCAAAGTCAAGCGGGCACGAAGCGAGACATGGAGAGCCCCGGGGCCCATCACGCGAGGCCGCCGTCGTCGACTCAATCTTCAAACATCATTGCGCTATTATACCCCAGCTTTCCAGGAAAACACTAACTTGTCCCATTCTCGTGTCATCCTCGTAAAGGCAATCATGGTCTCATCGTGCAGTTACCGGCAGTAACTCACCGCGGTCCTCTCCAGCCCCGCGGCCCCTCCACCAGCCTCTCGGGCCGGCTCCGGCGGCGTCATGCGGTCAGCACCGGAGGCGAAGGCGGTCAGCGGCGGCCTTCGCGCACCCAGCAGTGTCCCGCCCTGCCAAGTCCTGAGTCAGCCATCACCTTGGTGGCGAGGCGCGAGGCGCCCGGATGGGTCCGCCTCTTGGTCCGGCGAGTAGTACCGACCGTACCGACCAGTGGCGAGGCGCTGAGCGGAGTGCACACGCCTGCATCGGAAGAGCGCATCGCGGCGGCCTAGCCTTGTTACCCGGCCGGCTGCACTGGCCTGTTGTTACCTCCTTCCCTTTCCTTTCCTTCGCCGCGCCAATGTCAACAAAGAACACAAGAACAAGGCGCACGTACTCGATGACACGACATGACGCGAGACTTAACCAAACAATCCCACAATACATGAATGTTATTTTTTTTTCAAGTATACAGCAGCGCCAAAGCAGCGCCTGCTCAGAACTAAGTTAGTTGCCACGGTGGTGGGGCGGCGCGGCGTACAGTATGTACGGAGGAGGGCGGAGAGGCGGAGCTCGACGTGATCACACTCATTAACCGCGATGGCGATTCATTCGCGTTGCTGCCAGCCCCGCCCCACCCCGCCCCGCCCCAGGCCAGGTGGCACACACAGGTGGCGCAGGCACACCAGCATTCCG